ATGATGATGTAGATGTTACAGACAGACAGATCAACAGAACACGTTTGTTTTTAGAACCTGGGTCTGAATCTGTTTAGTTCTTATTTTATTTTTCTACAGCGTCCAGTTAAAGCCGAGGCAGCAGTTCTGGACTTTCCGGTTCTTTCCCTGTTTTTTTTCCCGCTCCTCGGTGACTCGCTGTGATGTGTTAATGACGCTTCACTGCTAATGCAGGATGTCTTTAAGACACACTACCTTCAGCATGTTTGGATTTTCTTCTGCGTGTCAAGTGGGGGGGCATAACCAACGTTTGAGTCATGCCACCCCCCCACCCCCCCCAGGGTCGTTTAAATTCACTGATTAGACACAAGTCTGGACATCAGGTTATGTCCTGTCCCACAGGGTAGAGTCTGAAGAACCATCATTTGTCTTTACATTTTAGACTAAACACAACCAAGGACATGAGTTAGTAGAACGGTGCTCTCTGATTGGCCGCCCACTGAGAGGGCCGTGAACACACCCCGATCCTCTGTCCTCAAGGTGATGACATCATGTCGACTCACTTCCAGTTGGAAGGGGCTGACATGAGCTCCTATAGAGATGGGGGGGGTTAGGGGGGGACAGTATAAAGGGAGGTTGGAGGAGTTCCTGCCTCAGTCCTCTCTGCTCCCTGCTCCTCCTCACAGGAGCAAGTGGAGGAGGTTTGAGGCTCCGACATGAAGGAGCGGCCTTCAGCAACAAAGTTCAGGGACAGAAAATATAAAAGACTTTATTTGAGGGAAACCTGACTCTGTGGATGTGGGTGAGTAAAAGGGTGAGTCTCTCACTCATGGTTTTTCCCCTCTTTCTTGTCTGTTTTCTCTCCCTCTGTCTGTGTCTGTGTCTGTGTGGACACACGGGTCCAGGTCTGTGCCCAGAGTAGGACCAGCTCTCCAGAAACCCTTCAGTCAGTACCTGGAGGCCCAGAGGAACAAGATGCACAGTCCTGGAGGAGCTGCTCCGGCGGTGAGTCCTTCAACCACCTCTGAGTTTGGTGGACACATTAAAGTCCATGCTAAAGTCCTTGGTTTTTGACCACTAGGGGCAGTCTTCCTTTCTGTGGTTTTGACCTGTGCTGTTGTTGATTTCTGCTCAGGACGACAACTGGCTGTCTTGGGTGTTTGAGAAGTTGGTCCTGGTCATGGTCTGCTACTTCGTCATCTCCATCGTCAACTCCATGGCTCAGAGCTACGGCAAGAGGCTGCAGCAGCAGAGGCGCAAGGAGCTCAAGACAAAGTGAGGAGGAGGAGGAGGAGGAACAAAGAACTGCCGTCATCCAAGGGACTGATGACGACGACGACGACGACGATGATGATGATGATGATGATGAAGAGAGGCTCTTCCACTCGGCCTCAGCCACTTACAACCAAACTACAAACCTCACCTTCATTCATTCTTAAAGAGGCTAAAAGTTTAAAGGAAAAGAACAAAAAAAAAACAGGACAGGAACCTTACTTTTTGGATATGTGTGTGTGTGTGTTTGGGGGGGTGTGTGTGTGTGCGCTACTTCATGTTTGGTACTTCCTATGTCTCATCTCTGTGTGTGTGTGTGTCAGTCAGTCAGTCCTGTTAACCCTGTCATTAACCTCAGACGTGAAGCAGCCGTTTGGTGGACGCCGCGGTGGTTCAGCGGTGACCGTCAGACTCTATGCCTTATGCAAGACTGGAAGCTCCGACTTCTCTTGGAAAAAACAGTCGTCGACTTAAAACTTGATTATTTAATTCTGTGACATGTACATGCTGCTGCGTCATGACCTGTCTGTACTGACGTTTTTCTTTTTTTTTTTTTTTTTTTTTTTTTTTTTTTTTTGTGTAGATTTAACGTCTTAGACCAACCATGTTGTTTCTAAAATAGAAAAAAAAAAGAAAAGCAATATCAACACAGATGGGCTGTGGTTGTCGGTGTAAATATCTTCCAACCTTGACGTGTTTCTATTCAGGGTGTGAGTGTGAACATAAAGTCGACTCGATGATGATGATGATGATGTCACAGGTGATGATGTCACTGGTGGCGGCTCAGTAGTGTCATCGCTGTTCTGTACAGTTAGGATCAGCTCATGTATAAACCATTTACACCATGACACTGGTTTCCACGTCTGAGTCTGTCACTGGCTGTGATGTCAGAGCGTCTACGAATGGACTGATGATGATTGAAGGTAAGTCCTGCGCGTGTGTGTGTGTGTGTGTGTGTTATTTAGTTTTCATCCAAATAAAAGGAACTTCCTGTTGAGCCGTCGGAGCTGCTCCACATCTGGACCGTCGTCAGGAGTGCACCGCTCCAGCCGGTCGTCAGCTAGCTTATCAGACTGGTGTTGGCTTCTCATGTTGTCATGGCAACAGTGGTCTGTAGGCTGGCTGAAGGTTCAGGCTCTCCGTCATGTCAGTCGTTCCTGCCTGTCGTGTCTGTACGTCGTCTGTAAAACAACTGGAAAAATAAAGGGTTAATGAATCAGACCTCTGCCTCCGTTCACTGTCTTTGTTCAGGTTCTCAACACGTGGTCACCGGCCCCTCTGAGTGAACTGATCAACATTTGGGTGTGTTCATATGTCATATATGTCAATTTTGTAAATGTAATTATAAATAATATAAATAAATGTAGATTTATATATAATATAAATAGTAATAAATATATGAATATTTCATATTCTTCATGAACATTACTAATTATTAAAATATATAATAAATATATGAATTTCAGACACTGACCAACAGTTGCCATGAGAACGACACATTTGTTAAAATCATTTTATAAATGTGGGAAAATCAGTGGATTTGATGAAACACTTAAATCTGAATCATCGGTGGAAAAAAAAAAGATTTAAAGGTTTTTACTAATTAAATCATTGTGTTAAATGTTGAAAGTGATGCCAACGACATCAGACATGAACAGGTGGAGAACAGGCGACAGGAGGGACATCCATCCTGCTGTCTGTGGAACCCTGGGGAGTTCGATTCCCACCCTGTTCACCTTGGACAGGGGGAGGACTGACGTTTGCTGGAAGATCCTCCTGATGCAGGACTTCCTGTTGTGGTCAATAAGACTTCGTCAGCGTCATCAGACTCACCTGTGTCATGTGATCACCTGTGGATTAGTCTCACGCCTGTCACCTGGTATAAAACCTCCGTCCGTCACTCAGTCTGTGTTGGTTTGTTGTCTGATGTTGAGCTGCGGGGGGGGGTTCGGAGCGGCGGGGGGGGGTTCCAAGTTCTTGTTCTTTGTTTTTTTTTGTTTGTTTGGTTTTTTTTTTGAGGGGGGGTCGCCTGTTGTCCTGATTGTTTTGTTTGCACTTTGAGAATACACCGTTTGCTCCTGGTGTTGGTCAGGAACAGGAGAATGAACTGACGTCTCTGTTCATGTTGTTACTAAAAAAAAGTTCTCACATGTGACAGTGTGAAACTAAAACCTACAGGACGTTAAATACACTGTTTAAAACTCACACACCTAATTTTTTTTTTTTTCAAAGTAAGGCTAATTTTTTTAAGTTGTCACATTTACTGCACAATTCAAAAAACACTTCCGTGGAAAGTCAGATGATGAGATGACGTCATCTGGTATTTTCTTGATTAGGAAAGACATTAATGACTTAACTGTGTCTGGATTTCTGCTGTAAATTACTCATTATTCTGTCAGAGATTCTGGTCCAGACACTCTAATAATTATATTTATAATTATATTTATATTAACATCAGGATAGAGAAATAAAAGAGTTTTAGTTTCTGTGAATTAGTTGTGTTTTATTTGTATAATTAGAATAAAACTTGATTGTTTAACAGACTTCATTCATCGGTGACAGTCAGTGTCAGACACTGAACTTCACTAGTGTAATTTATACTAATACTAACTTTGAGTTAACTAACTTTGAGTTAACCTCCCAGAGCTCTGACTGGATGAGACATTCACGGTCATCAGTCGGTGATGGCGCTGACTCATCCGTCTTCATGTCGAGTTTCCAGACCAAACCTCAAGACTCCAGCATCAGTTTCTTTGTAGGACATGAATTAATAAAACAGTATATTGTGATTGCCCCCCCCCCCCCCACCCCCCGCTGAGAGAGCCCTCACTGCCTTATAAGGGCATGAACACACCCTGATTATATGTCTCCTCACCCAGAAGCTGCGATGGTGGTAAAGGTGATGACATCATGTCGACTCACTTCCAGTTGGACGGGGCTGACATGAGCTCCTATAGAGATGGGGGGGGTTAGGGGGGGACAGTATAAAGGGAGGTTGGAGGAGTTCCTGCCTCAGTCCTCTCTGCTCCTCCTCACAGGAGCAAGTGGAGGAGGTTGAGGGTCCGACATGAAGGAGCGGCCTTCAGCGGCCTGGACTGAAGACATTTCCTGACTGAATACTCACTCTTTGTCAGAGTGCCCCCCCCGACCCCCCCACCCCCCCAACAGAGCCGTCTTTATGGGTGAGTGACTTGGTCTTCTTCCTGCTGTTTGCTGCTCAGCTCGTCTCCTCTTCTTTGTCCTTCTCTGCAGACCTTTGTGGACACTGGTCTCTGGTCTGTGGTCTGTGGTGGACAGACCAGACTGTGATGCTGGAGGACTTTGTACCAGTACTGTGAAAACTGCAGTATTTTTCAGCACCTATTAGTGTGGAAGTACCAGTAGAATGTCAGCTGTGTCCATGTCTGGATGGAGTTCAAAGTTCATGGAACTTTCTGGTAACTTTTCATCAAACCAGTTGTTAATTATCATGAAGACATTATTGTTGTTTAAGTCTTTTTTTCTTTTGATAAACACAGTTATAACAATTTAAATTGTTACATTTAAATAATAGATTTTTCTGTTGTACTTCTTTCTTTTGATAAACACAGTTATAACAATTTAAATGGTTACATTAGTAAAGTTACAGTTGATTCAATGTCCACGTGGTGTATAATAATAATGGTCTGAATTTCTGGTCTTTATTGTTGATGCTGAAACTCAATTTAAAAAAAAAAAAATAATAATAATTTTGTTACAGATATGATCACATTCAAGGGAACATCTGAACTTTTATTAGTTTTTTTAAAATATATTTTTTCCTCTGTTTTCATTACGACCACCAGACGGTGGGAACTCAGATTTTTTTTTTTTTTTGGTCAAGTAACTGATCTGTGATCCCTGACCCTGGAGTTCTAATCTGACCCGTGTCTCTTCAGTATTTGGTCCTGAATTACGTTTAGATTTGATACAAAGTCATGTGACCTGGATATGAAAAACCCATTGGACTTTGGGTTTATATAATGACAGTTAGCCTGCTCCTCAGCTAGCTTATATGACTGGTGTTGGCTGTTCATACGTCAGGTCAACGGTGGTCTGTAGGCTGCCTGAGGTGTTGGATCTGCAGCACATTTCTTTTTTATTCTTCCCTGTTTGTTGGATCTGCAGCACATTTCTTTTTTTATTCTGCCTGTTCACTGTCCAATCATTCAACAATAAAGTGATTTAATAAAAAGGTGTGGCTCCGACTCCATGGTCTTTGTTCATTCTGAACCAACTTTATTCACGTTCACATCTCGGAGGTGAAGCCAAACGGTGTTCATTTAAAGATGAGTCCATTCACTGGAAAAGTTTAAAAGTTCAACTGAACTCAGGACAAAAAAACAAAAATCCCCAAATGATGAAGATCATTTTCTGAGTCATGTTTGAAGCTGAAGTGATTCAGGAAATTCTTACTGCCACCGAAATACTTACAAAACACACACTTCTTAAAAAGTACACTGTGAATGAATGAGCTACCTCTAGTGGTTAAAGTTCTCACTTCACCAGACTTAGCCTCGTAGCATTAGCCATGCTACGTCACGTTTTAAGATTTTCAGAACAAATGTAAAATGTAAAAATGTATATTTATACATACATATACACATATATATGTATTTGGAACGTAATCCGTTTATATTTTCATCAGTTCATATTGTATCAAAATAAAAACATTCTTCACTGTAGTTCATCAACACAGCTGACTGTAGCTGGAGACGAGCTGCTCCAGTGACGTGAAGCTGTCCAGGAAGTCCTCCTCTGAGATCCCGAACCTGACGTACTGATGGACATAGGCCCTGGAACAGAGGACAGCAGAGAGGACGGCCTGAGGACTGAGGACTGAGGACAGATGGACCAGCGTGAGCTGTTGATGTTTCTACACCGACTCACCTGGAGGCGAACATGTTCCAGGCGTTCCTCACCATGTTGTCCAGAGGTCTGAGCAGAGCCTGGCTGTTACTGACCAACGTGGCCGATTTCTCATATTTATTGAAAGGCACCGGGGATTTCCAGGAGGTAAACGCAGCGTCTGGTGACAACCAGGAAGTGTACAAGGCCGGGTCCTCAAACCCACCTGTGGATCGATGCACAGTATTAACATTATCATGGTCCATGTTGGCTCCTCATAATATTGACAAATGAATTAAAAAAAGAATCAATCCTAACTCAGATTGTCACCTTTTCTTTTTCTTTGTCATGTTCATTAAAAACCAGTTTAATTCCGACCACTGACCCGTCTCTGCGCTGTAGACGTCCTTCCCTCTCAGGATGAGGAGGTTGGCCAACGAGGTGTTGAAGCTGCTTCCTGTCAAACTCCTGCTCCTCTCAGCTCCAGAGGGCGCACTCACCTGCCAGTCGATGCCTGACGCGGGTCGACCACACTTCAGTTTTCATTTGGAGCAACAATCGGGCGTAAACTGCGATGACCAAACTCACCTTCCTCCATCCTGCTGTTGGAGATGAGCATCTGCCGCAGGTGCTTGAGCAGCCCTGGCCAGCTGAAGGCGCTGTAGGCTATGGAGGAGGTGGGCATCTGAGGGATGGTGCTGACGCTCAGCAGCTTGTACTCCGGGTGGCAGACCAGGGCGCCCACCAGCTCCCCTGGGGAGAAGACACAGTTATTGCCTCAGGTCATTTCACCCCTGACCTTAGGCAGAAAAACACAGTAACATCATGTTGTTTTGCCGTTAGCAACAGCAAGTCGCATGTTTAAAGGCACAGTTTATAACATCATGTTGTTTTGCCGTTAGCAAGTTGCATGTTTAAAGGCACAGTTTGGATTTATATTGTGTGATCACAAATGTTAAATATTAAATATAATGCAAAGGCGTTCAAGCATTTAATTACACCACGCGTGTGTGTGTGTGTGTGGTGTCGGCGTTCAAGCATTTAATTACACCACGCATGTGTGTGTGTGTGGTGTCCCCCCCCCATGTCCTCACCCACTGGACTTCTGCTGTAGACACCCTGTGAGTCTGCCGTCAGTGCAGGCTGGAGAACGCTTCCCAACTGGTGAGCGATGACTTTGTTGACGTCACTGAAGGAGATGTGTTTGATTCTGAGCAGCCGACTGCAGATCCTGTGCACCGTGTCGTTCTCATGCACCAGGACGGCGTCCGACAGCTGGTACAGATGGGAGAGAGTCAGCGCGGAGTTGTAGTTCTGGACGATCACCTGAGAAAAACAGGGTGGAAATGAAGGACCACCTGGAACTTCATATGAATCCTTGTTTCACTGCGACCACGTCAGCCGTGCTCACCTCCCCCGCCTCGTAGGGCCAGGTCAGGTGGTTGACCACGAAGGACTTGGGGTAAGTGTCTCGTAAACACTGTGTGACGTAGGTTCCCACTCCAGAGCCGGTTCCTCCGGCCACGCTCATCAGAGCCATGAGGCCAGAGACCCGGTCGCAGTGCTCCACCTCCCGCCTCACCAGCTCCTCCACCACCTCCCTGTGACGGGGACCGTGGACGCAGAACCTGAACCCCAAAGAAACAACGTGACATGAAAGACCGTGACACACCCAGCGGGTGATGGTGCAGTGGAGCGGGGAGTTGCCCCCACCCGTTAGCCCAGTTGTTTCCTGAGCCCTGCTTCTGGCTGAAGTGTGAGGCCTCGCCGTACGTCCACCTGCCGGACTCTGCCGCCTTCCTCATGCTGCGGTTGATCACTTTAGGCTCCATGTCGATCAGCACCGCCCTCGCCACCAGATCTGGTCGACAGACAGAAGTCGGTGAGAACCTCAGTGTTCTGGACTCAGGAATTTAGCTTAGTTTGGAGTTTGACCATTTCAACATAAACAATAATGTGTGAAAACAGGAGCAGGAAAAACAAAGTTATATCTTTGAAGCATCAGGCTCTGGGTCCACGAGTTCAATCATGAACTTACAAAGAAAATGAACAAAATACAGAATAAAACTGATATTAAAAACAAGGACCGTAAAAAACCTACCTGTAGAAAACGAGTGATGTCGTTTGTTAAAAACTAGTGATGTCGTTTCTTGTCTTAAGAAAAAAAACAAACTCTTCAATCACATTTTGGAACTAAAATGTCATTTTTCATCAGTTTTACACACAATAAAGATGTAACAACGTTTATATTAAGTTATAACACAAACACAAATGTTTTATTTTTTAACAGTTTAACAACAATGTGGACTACTTTACCTCCGCGTGTATTCTGGCGGAAGAATCGCTCACAACTTGCTTTGCAGTACGGTTTCCTCTGACCCTGTTGTGCGTCACAGCAAATGACGTCATAGAGCTCCTGACCCACCTGGTTCCCGCACTGACCCAACTGGACCGTTACCACCGACATTTTCCACACTGACGCGGCTTCTTAAGACGAGACGTGCGTGGGATTTTGACCACAGGAAGGCGCTACAACGAGTAAAGTCCGGCACTGACCGTGCTGTGACGCTGACCGCTTCATGGCTACACTTCCGTGGATACAGAAAATGCACAGTTTTGCCGCCACGCAGAGACTGAGCGGAATTTCCGATCTTGCGGTGAGACTTTCAAAATAAAGATAGATTTTAGAAAAAAAAAAGTTTCGTGCGTGTGTGTGTGTGTGTGTGCTTTAATGCTATCAAAGACACGTGTGTGTGTGTGTGTGCGTGTGCTTTAATGCTATCAAAGACATATTTAAGAACCTCACAAACTACCGCCGTTACGTTTTGTTTTACGATGTTTTGTCAGAATCATCTTGCATTTTAAAATAATTCAGTGTTTCGAATAGATGCCGCTTCATACGGATATAGGTTATCTGTAAAAAAAAGAAGAGCTGGATTTCGTTTTATTTAACATTTAATTCATGTCGTAAAATGTATTATTTTATACTTTTTACGGGTTAAGAGTTTTTAGTTTTACTGGTGAATTGTGTGGTGCTATTCCTTCTGGTTATATCAAATTATATATGTGTTTGTTTAGCAAATTATATTTCCATTTTAATTACATTTCAACATCTGTAGATGGAAGTATTTTGAAGTATATTAGAAAGTCATTTTTAAAACAGACAAACTCATAGATATTTTATTTGTTTTTTAATTTAAAATAAATTTGATATCAATCGTATTTTTAAAACGTCAGTGGTGAATTAATGATGTGTTTTCTTTCTCTCTGATTTACTTGTTTATAACGTGTAGGAGTGGACAAAGCCTGACAGGTGACCACGCCCCTCTGGCTGAGCATCGCACTGCGCATGCTCAGTGTAGTAGCCGGTCATGGCGGCGGTGTGTGTTTGTCCATGAGGTGCGGGGACGCTCGATATTCCTGCGGTCTGTGATAGAGCCTTCAGAGCCGAACGCTGCCATGGCTGGAGTGTTTGACATTGACCTGGATCAGCCAGAGGAAACGGTCTCCGACGACGAGAACGAGGAGGTACTTTGACAGCACTGTCAGAGCTACATAAACACCGTATTTGTGGTGTGAGCGCAGGGGTTAGCATGTTAGCATGTTAGCTGTTAGCCCGGCAGCCTGCCAGCCACCACGGGCCTGCAGTGTAGCCGGAGCTCCAGGCCTCCGCTACCACAGTTAGCACACGGAGTGTGTGACAGCTACAAACACAGAGCTTTCACTTTTCGCGCTCTTTAATTTTTCCGCAGTAACTGTAGCCGGTGATGAAATCTTTTTGTTGACGCTGTCATGTGTGAAAACACCGCTGACAAGTTGGGAGTTGTGCAAGCGCTGCCTTACTTGGCCAAACGAGCTGCTGCTGCTGCTGCTGCTGCTGCTGCAGTGATAAATGTGGCTCAGTGTGCAACAGTTTATTTTGGCAGGACGGACACAGAGCGGGTCAGTGTGAACCCGGGGCTCCCGTCTGGTTGTTGATCAGTGTAAATAAAGGACAAGACTGAGTCACGTTGACGAACCCGGTGTGGACGCTGCTCCGTGCACATGTCCAACTGTTGGTGCCCTGATAACAACCACCAGCTGTTGCACAATCCACACCTACAGTCACGGTAACGACGTGGTCGGAGTTTCAGTCCCGGTTTCTGTCCAGGTTTGAGCAACTGTTGCATCAACATCAGCAGCTAAATGTTGATCAACACAGGTTGGAGGACCGAGACCTCAGCTTTGAGTCTTTTACTGTAATGAAATCCTGCTCAGTTTTCGTCTGTTCAGATATTATTATTATTATAAGGTCCTCCCCCCACCCCCCCTGGGCTCTTGTTAGAACCAGCGTTAATCAAATTCTAATTTCTTCTGTTGTTGTTGTTGTTTTTTTCAAACTAAAAAATATCCCTAATGTTAATTTCATTTGCAGAAAGAAATAGTTTGATTTTTCTTTAATGTTGATGACACATATTTAAAATGATTGAATTTTTTAAACTTTTCTTTAAAATTGTAGCAGGGACAAAAATAAAAAATACAATTTAACATTAAAAATGAATAATCAATATGTAAATACTGCACAGCAAACACAGATTCTATAAAGTTTAAATCCCATTTTAACATAGTCAATATAATACATCCAACTTTGTTGACATTTCTGCCTCTCTGTATATTTACTTTTTCTCACAGACTCAGATCGGTGACATCATGGACCAGTGCAGTGGGTTTGAGTTGTAAGTCCTTCAACCTGTTTCTTCCTGATTGGCTTCTGTGTACGATGAGAAAAAACGAACGTGTCCCACTGTGTCTCCGCTGCAGTAACCTGGACGACTGTGAGAAGATTGAGATTTCAGAGGACAACGTCAACCAGGGCGCGGAGAACATCAGACCCGAGTGTTTCCACCTGTTGAGGGTTCTGGGCAAAGGTGGATATGGAAAGGTGCACAGTTCACACACTCAGCCAATCACACTGCAGGGTTTACTACGCTGCTTGTTTGTTTGTTTGTTTGTTTGTTTGTTTGTTTACATTTTCATTAAATTTCTGTTTGTTTGTTTGTTTTTTTTTACATTTTCATTACATTTCTATTTCAGGTATTTCAGGTTCGAAAAGTTGCCGGCGCTGCATCAGGAACGATATTTGCCATGAAAGTTTTAAAAAAGGTAATTAATTATTTTTCCTCCTGCTGTTTTTTCTTTTTTAGTAGAATGAAGACGGTTGTTCTGCTCTGAAAATATCGATCATCCTCGGAGCAGCACTGGGCTAAGGTTTCACTGCGTATTTGTAGCTGGCTATTTATTTTGGTCTATTATTACAGCTCTGTTAGCCTGTTAGCTCCAGGCTAATGTTCACTTTATATCTGCTTTTTATTAGCCTGAGATGAACTCCATGACCTTTAGAAGATCCAGCACTGATGTAGGAGAGTTTATAAATGTCTCCTTCCTACAGTGACGGACAGAGTGTCGACGGAGGAGGCGTTTCTTCCTCTAGATTTATGATTTTTTTTGAAAAGTTGATCCGTTTACTTGCACAGAAAAGGTTTTTTTTTTTTAGTTACTAAATTTTTCTAAATTTAGTATTAAATGAAGTAGTGACTGGTACTGAATGAATCCTGCTCTCGTTTCGTCCCTGATTCATCTTCTGATCACAGCCTGACTCTGACTTTGTGTCTCCGTCTTTTCACTTCCAAACAGGATTGTAGTTTTCTCAGGACAAACTTCAGACCTGTCCCGGCATTTAAATGAGAACTTTGGTTCCCTGCAGCCGAAGCGCTAATGATGCTCATAAATCTGAGTCTGAGATGCCAGTGTTAGCATAGCCTAGCTGCAGTCGCCACGGTAACGGACCTGTAGCAACAGAAACAAGGAGTAAATGATCTGTTTTAGCAAATCCCTAGTTGTTGGTAGGAGAACTACGGTGGTTGGATTTGTATTTGGTTGTTGCTGCATCAAGATAGTCGGTTGGATTTGTATTTGGTTGTTGCTGCGTCAAGATAGTCAGAAGAACTAATTGTTTTCAAGATATTTATGTTTAACGTGAAAATAAATTGGACATGATTTTCAAATGTTGACAAAGGTGTTCAGTCAGAGTGGCAGCGATCGTTCTTCCACTGTGGTTTTTGACTTAAATCAGAAAAATGAGATCAACCTAACTGTGTGACCTTCACTGTGTCTTTAGTATTATTAAAGTCAGATCAGGTGACCGCACGTCGTCCTTAACTGCCACACTTGGTAACGCCGTGATCTTTGTGTCTCTCTTGTCTTTGGGTTGGGGACACCAGGCTATGATCGTACGCAACGCCAAGGACACAGCTCACACCAAGGCAGAGAGGAACATCCTGGAGGAGGTCAAGCACCCGTTCATTGTCGACCTCATCTACGCCTTTCAGACGGGAGGGAAACTTTACCTCATCCTGGAATACTTGAGCGGTGGGTGAAAAACACACACACACACATGTCTGACATCGACAGCGTATTTTGATCAAGTCTCAGGTTCTTCTTCTCCTCTGTGCAGGTGGGGAACTTTTCATGCAGCTGGAGCGGGAGGGCATCTTCATGGAAGACACGGCCTGGTAACGTCTGCAGCGATGGATTAATAATACATGCTGATTGGCTGTAGACATTGAATCAGTAAACGTTCCACGTCTGATTGTCTTCTTCACGTCAGCCGAGGCTGCTGTTCTTTATGGTGTGCATGCTGTGAATTATGGGATATGATCAGTGAGTCTCTGTGATGTAGTCCGTCAGGGTCATTTATATTTTGATGCCACTGTCTCCGGTGGCTGTCTGTGAATATTTGGTCTGTAAAATGATGACACATAGTGTCTGTGAGTTGATGAGGTTTCCTTCCACGTGTGTTGTGTGTTGTGTGTTGTGTGTAGTTTTTACCTGGCGGAGATCTCCATGGCTCTGGGCCACCTGCACCAGAAGGGCATCATCTACAGAGACCTGAAGCCTGAGAACATCATGCTGAACAGCCAAGGTGACCTTTGACCTCCTCCATGCTGCTTCACTGCTGGACAACAGAGTCATTTCTTTGTCCTTTTTTCAGATGTGTTTCCTGTGTAATGTGATGTGTTTGTCTCCTCCAGGACACGTGAAGCTGACGGACTTTGGTCTGTGTAAAGAGTCCATCCACGACGGAACGGTCACCCACACCTTCTGTGGCACCATTGAATACATGCAAGTCAAGACTTTATACAGTTTCAAAAGTCACTCTACAAACATGACTCTGTGACGTGACCTTTGACCCCCTAACCTGAACTGTCCTGTCCTTCTGTCCTAGGGCTCCTGAGATATTGATGCGAAGTGGACACAACAGAGCGGTGGACTGGTGGAGTCTGGGCGCTCTGATGTACGACATGCTCACAGGAGCGGTCAGTTTCTGAGTCCTTACATGTAAAACGTTTTTCTTCACGTCCTTCACTCCTGACGTACATCATCTAAAATAAACAAATGTCCCTCGTCAATCTCAGCCGCCGTTCACGGGTGAAAACCGGAAAAAGACGATTGACAAGATCCTGAAGTGTAAACTCAACCTCCCGCCCTACCTCACGCAGGAAGCTCGAGATCTGCTGAAGCGGGTAAGTCCCGCCCCCACCGCCGCCGCGTCTTACTGTAAATGTTGACCCCGTGTCATGTAACATGTGACCGCTGCTTCTCCAGTTGTTAAAGCGGAACGCCTCCTCACGACTGGGAGCAGGAGTCGGAGACGCCTCAGAGGTGCAGGTGAGATCATGTGACTCTGTGGAAGAACTCGCAGGACAAGAACAAACGTTTTGTATTTTAAATGTATTTGTTTTTCTTTGTAGACTCATCCGTTTTTCCGACACATCAACTGGGAAGACCTGCTGGCTCGGAAGGTGGAGCCGCCCTTCAAACCCTTCCTGGTGAGTGTTTCAGGGACAGACGGAGACGTCGTCTCACACGGACCCGTTCGCTGGTCATCTCCCTGATGATAAGTGACGACACACGAACGACGACGACTCGTGAGATCGTGTTTCGTCGTCACCTTTGGTTACCGTCGTACATCAAATCAGCACGACCACGTCCAGTAATCGAAGCCCGCTCCTCTCCTCTGGGCGGTGTCGGCTGACACGTGCGCTCATGTTGCCGCTCCTCCTCCTCCTCCTGCCTCTTCTTCTCAACCCATTTTTGTCCCGTTTCTTTGCAGCAATCGGCCGAAGACGTGAGTCAGTTTGACTCCAAGTTCACCAGTCAGACGCCCGTGGACAGCCCCGACGACTCCACCCTGAGCGAGAGCGCCAATCAGGCCTTCCTGGTAACTGTCTCTGATAGGACAACACCCTGTCCTCCCATCAGCAGGATGACCAATGATCTGCTCCAAACAAACACACAGTTAGAACCTCAGTGTATCCAAATGGAACTGAAAAGATCTTGTTCTCCAGAGTCCAAACTTGACTTTGCAGCCTCTGAGAAAATCGGCCTTTTTCAAGTTATACATCCTAAAAATAGGACGCCACATATTTA